TAAAAAAATACAAGAAATAGAATAAGTATTAAGATATAATATATATAAATTTTATAATTTTTGACTGTATAGTTAATGATTTAAAAATAGTCAAAGTTGAAATTTATAATAAAAATATAGTAAGTGGACTCAAACTTTTGGAAACAATAGTATAATTAAAATGAAAAATTAATGAATTTTTTGGATACTGTAATAAAGAAAGAAAAGAATATTTCAATTAAATAACTCTTATTAAAAAGAGATAAATTTTTAAAGAAAGCAAGATTTTATTTTATTATTATTTTGTTTTATAGCATACATAGATATTTACCTTTTCTTTTTAAATCCATCCCTTTTGTGACTTGGTAAAATAATTGATAGTAATAACTTGTCAACAATAATATATAGATTAAAAAAGTATTTACTCAAAATCTATTAAGGAGCGCCTAATTATTAAATAAATATGCACTGATTAATGAACTCTTAATCTAGTTTATACATATACAGTACAGTATATATTATTTATATTTATTTAATGAAAATTTATTATAGAAGGATATCTTATATTTTTTTTTTAATTTTAAATATTTTAGTAAAAAATCGTTTTTTTCTAAATACTTGAACAATCAAAGTTTATCGTCTTTGCAATACTACCTAAGATTAACTTTACTTACTGATCATTATTGTTATTTCTTTTTTTAAAGAAAAAAAAAAAAGAAATTCCTAAAACTTAGAATTTGATATGTAAGTCTTAATAATTACGTATAATAATCGTATTTCTTACTATACCGAACACAAAATATACGTACACAAATATGGTTTTCGGAAATTTGCTAATTTAAAAGAAAAATGATTAATCTACCGCTTTCGAGAAACCGAGTTCCGGACGAACGCGAGGAAATGCTCGGCAAAATAGGTGAACCTTTTGGACCCCTTAGAAAAGCGCACACTAAACCTGGTTCCAACTTCTCTCATGTGAATTGAAGATCATTCAAACCAGATTCTTTATTTAAAAAAGCGTTTTCCAGCTAGACTTCCACAAAAAAATGTCATCAACGGATGCAAATAATGCCCACCCAAAAAATGTTTGCCTTTCGTACACAGGTAAAATATATGAAAACTATCATTTCTATCATTGTATTGATTACCTACGATAATTATTCCATCCTCTTTCTTAGGTGGTAAGGATTGCACGTTAACCTTACACCACTTGTTTGCTCATCCCCAACAATACACCGTCACCTCACTGGTGACCTTCACCCCTTCCTCAAGTACAAAACCCTTCCTCGCTCACCCCCAGCACTTGATAAAACTTCAATCCTCCGCCCTCCAACTCCCTCACCAATTCCTCCCCGTGAGCGCACCCTACGTGGACTCTTATCGATCCCTAATCTCGTCGCTCGGTGTCGATGCTCTAGCCACCGGTGATATTCTCGACGTTTGCGATCGATTTATGGATCGTGTCGTCGAAGGCACTAATATAGGATTGGTGCGTCCATTATGGGAACGTGATCGAAATGAAATGATCAATGAAATATTCGATTTCGGCTTTGAGGTGTTGATCACTTGTGCAAATCTGGAGAAGATACGAAAGGAGGTGGCCAAGAAGTTGGTGGGAAGTATGCTCACAAGGGAGTTGTATGAGAATGTGATATTAAGACAAGAGGGACTGGACGGAAGTGGGGAGATGGGTGAATACCACAGTATGGTTTTGAATGCGCCGTTGTTTAAGAAACGGATAGTGATTAACCGGGGACGGCAGGTCACCTCGGATGATGGAAGGTTCATTTATTACGAAGTTTTAGAATGTAGGGTTGTTGACAAATGATAATTTTTTTTTCATATTACTCTTCTTTGCATTATAAAGATATATTCGGATATTTACATTAAAAAAAGAAAAGCGAGTACATTATTTTTCTTCCGGATGATGGCAATGTTCAGAAGTATGCGAATAAAGTCTCTTTTCTTTTGAATCTAATAAATGAAAAAATGCATTCATTTTCCTTTTAAAGCATTCCCGTCCCACTACCATCATCTTCCCATCCACCATCCGCTTCATTCAATTCCTTTTCAGCCCGGGCATCTTCCATATAATCAACATCACAAATAAATTGTTTTAAAAATTGTTCTAGATAATTTATTCGTTCAATAATAGTCTCGTCGTAACCAGGTTTTTCAATCAGGGGTATCGATTTGGGATATTGCTTGTGGAGTGATCGCTTTACTCGTCGACGCAAGCAGAATGCCTGGCAGAATCCCCACGGAACGATTGGCATGAATCCTGAAAAAAATTTTTTAGAAGAAATATGGTAAGTAAATGTGACTGTATGCGCGCATGCCTATTATATTATAAGATTATGAACGGCGCCCACCAAACAACAGGATGTAAATTCCGACTAGAAGACCGTAGAAACCAGAAAGTAGACCTAGCGAATCAGTAATCTGTCAAAAAAACGAAAAAAAAAATGGATGATAACGCGTTTGATTGTGATTTTGGTAGGTTCAAAAACCAAAGAAATATCCAAATTACTTACGCGACGCAATCTAATCACGTGATTGGTTGAGATCAAATAAAATGTGAGAATTGAATGAGGAAGTCATGAGAAGGTAAACACGCAAATATATTACCTAGTTTCCGTACTGACATCCTGAAACCAATCCATCGCGCCCATGTAAAGATTCGAGTAAAGCTGTGTTCCATTGATCGATTGATTCGCGTATGTAGGTGCGGTCTTGGGGTCGGTCACAGATTCTGATTATGGATAGATAAATCTTTAATGGTGAGGAGGATTTCAAAGGAAAAAAAGAAAATATCCGAACCATATCGCGTGGTAATGTAGCTTGTATCGAAATAGCTTGGTGGTACACCCAACACAGCCCAGAAACTTGGAACCATTTTCTTTCGAATGTGTCTATTAATAAACATCCAATTCACCTGAAATAAATCATGATTAATAGTGATTTCACTTCTCCTCATTCACCAAGAAAGGTGCTTACTTGCTGAAATCCGATTACATGTAAGTTCAGATTCTCCAAGGTAGCATAGAACTCTGGATCAATTTCCTGGGCGCGGGCATGGACGCTTGCCGGCACCGTGCGAGGATTGAAGTCCGAGTCAAAAGCTCTTACCAACATTCCCGTGTCATTCCCGCGGGTATACCGCGGATCGTCAATGCTTATGGTGTACCAAACGGCATTGAGTTTTTTGGTTTGGTTAAATACCAAACCTTCGGTCGCCGTGAACCAACCGTGCCATCTCGCGTCCACATCAGATTTATTACAGGCGGGTTGGGTAACGTAGGGCGCGCAAATGTCGGATGTCGATTCGCTGCCGTCTGTTGCATAAGTATGTTTAAGGTGTAAATGTGAGTTTGAAAGATGAGATGTGTCACGAAAAATTTTCACAACTACCAACCGACCTAGGTAACGAAATGTGCAAGTAATATTAAAATGATAATTAAATGTGAACTCCAAATCTACAGGAATTTTCGTGTAAAACACGTGTATCGCGTCAGTAAATTCATCGATAAATAAAGAAAAAAAAACCGACAGTTCCATAAAGATAAAAATGCGAACCGGGAATGGGTATTTGGGGGGCCTGTTGTAGTTGAGATTTGATGACTCCTTTGTCGGTTGCCAAAAACGCCACTATTATGGCGAAATATCCGCAAAGTAGAGCCCCTAGTATGAGTAACGTCGATCCCCGGGCTATCAGTAAGGACTTATTTTCGGTTTTTCGATATTTCAATGCGAGCTCCTTGATTTCGTACAATAATTCTACCATTGCTCTTTATAATTAGATATTTATGATGCGTGAATATAATTTCCTTTAGGTATTATTTCCTCTAGATTTATATTTATCAATGTAGCACCGACTGTTCTTATCTCGATTGTGTTAACCACGAACATGAAAATTTTCTTTTCCTACGAAGCCCTGTGGATTATTATTATTAACGTTTCCAGGGGACTACCTTTTCCCTTTCAGTCCTAGGCTCCCGGCGATCTTGTGGAGGAAGAAGAATTTTTTCAGCTATTAATCATTGCACAATATTTTTATACGCATAAGAGATATGATACGAACCGTCGGTACACCAAAAATGGTAAGAACCAATTATCGACACGGATCGGTGACATAATTCAACATATAGGTACAATATGACACTGTAGTCTTTAATAAAGTTGCTTCTTATTTTGCTTTCCTAATTTGGGTAGCCTATATATTTATTTTAGCGCAGAGGTTGATGTTTGGTTCAGTCAAGTGAGGTCTTTTTTTCGTGGTGTGAGATTGACGTCAAGGTATCGATTAGTTTGTTTTTTGTATAACAGGACTTTTTTAGAATCACAAAAACTCAATGATTAATAATAACACTCCTGATTGTTGTTTATTTTAGCCTTGATTGAGGCGTCTTTTTTTTATTTGTGATATGCCATGATTGCGTGTACAGTACAATGATGATTTATGGCATGAAAGGGACGCACGATCTTCCCGGATTCTTTCAAAAGAAGACTGTAAAGTATTGTTTTTCGCATTGATTTTGTCCCCTTAATTAATTCTTTTTTAGTTATATTGATCACGCAATGTAGTAAATATAATATTGACTCGGAGAAGCCTTCGAACGAGGAAATTACAATAATGAAATGATGAATTTTCGTGCGTCCGACTTATTTTAAGTATGCACACACGGCATTTTACTATTCGGGAGATTCCGCCTCTAAGAAAAAAAAAAAACGAATCGCACTAGAACAGTTCTGATCATCCGTCACCTAAATTAAATTAAAATTTTCCATTCATGGTCAATATGCACCACACACGCACATCTTCTCAGATCATCGCCAAAAAAAAACGTACACAAGTACATAAACCTCTCGATATTATATCATCCTTATTCTTTTTTACGCATGAACTCGCCATCCCAAAGATTATTCAAAATTTCCAAACAATTTTAATGCTGCGCATTCACATGTTTACTCTGTACAACGGCTCGCCGCCAGCTCGAGTGTGTGCATGCATGAGGCAGAACACTTCAGTTCTACAAACTTCTTTTACATATTCCCACTGGTATTTCTCAGATACACTAGCATTGACAAATGCCATTTGTTAATAGCTGATATCTTGAGTTACACTTCACTTCAATTTCGGCGATCTACATCCCGTAACCATTTGTTTTTTTTTTTTTTATTGTTGATATGCGGTACAAGAAAAGAATAAAGTCATCTTTTCTTTGTTTCCGTGATTTCCCTTGTCATTCATCCATCCAAAATCTCCCATCTCGTTGACAGGCTTCTCAGAGATCGTCAAAGGGATCGTTCACGGGATAAATCCCTTAATCCAAAGAAACCATGACAAAACTTATCCGCGAAACGAGATCAGTGTTCCGTAAATATGGCAAGACCGAACCCATTCAAGTGGTTTGCATGAGAGGCGTTTGTCTTGTCATATGTGGTCTACTACTTTTGACCTATTTTTGCTTTCTGGTGATTTTGATGGTCACCGATGAACCTGTGTTGATGACTTCTCTCGTGGCCAAACCTTATATTCCGGTTCCAGGTATTTCACCATCATCTCAAAACAATCTTTTTTTCGATCCGATTTAGATGGAAGAAATCACCTACTGACTCTGCTGATAATAATAAACAAATTAACTCCAAACCAAGACATGGTCGTCAGTTGGAGTCATAATTTTTCGATGAGTTGTCAATTTCAATACTTAGGTAATGATCAGTCTATGAAGTAGACAGAGCAATTATTATTTCGCGAACTCAATAAAACCCACATTTCCACGAATAGGCCACGCGAGCACTGAACAAGACACGATTGACTGCACTTCATATATTTCGCCAACTGAATGTTCGCCCGAATATGAGTCCAATCAATTCACCGGTCGGTGTTCCAGTCAATTCATCGCCACAAATTCGTTGAATCTCAGTCTACCAGATGGTCGTTATGGTCTCACGTTCACTTTTGTTGGTTCTCCGGAGAATAATTCGGATCATAATGGAACTTTAGATATCGGAATGAATATAAGAGTCATAGATTCGCGTAAGTTCTTAATGTATGAAGGGTGCAAAGGTTATCTTGTGAAATAGAATGCATGATATATTTCTTCCTTCTAGTATTTGACCCAACAAGGCTGCCCGCCGACATCAAATCTCTCGCAACAAAAATCAATCCGTGGCTCTTTGATGAACTCGAAAACTTGAATTTTCACGTCATAAGCTATCATCAGGTACCGTAAACAGTTTATCATTATCCTTCGCGTCCAATCTTTTTTAAAATCCGTATCGCCTCAACCGGTTCTCTTTTAAAAATAAAAAGGTTTCAAAAATGTTGTTCACTAGGAAAGTAAAGAACCTGGAAAAACCAAGTTTTCTGAATGTTATTGGGATCCCACCGAGCTATCTGAATGTACCTTACGTCGATTCCACTTTTGGTACTCACTTTAGACGATATCTCTTCCCTTAAAAATTAAAAAATGTCCCTTGCTCATCTTTTTTTTTTTTTTCTCGTTTCGATAGAATCAGCAACAATTCCATATGCATCGCAGATATTTGAGAACACCACTTTGGGAAACATTTACGCTACCTTGTTTATCGGTACTTATAATTGGCTTGAACAGATAGACACGGAGATCAGGTAAGCGAACACGCTGTTAACTTTTTTTTTTTTTTTTCTTACCGGATTATTAATTATTTTTGTGTGAAAATTGACTGCAGGACTACTAATGTAGGTACAAGTTAAAGGTGTGGGAAAACGGGAAACTCGGGCATATTTAATTACTAAAAATCCATTTTGTTTTTTCATTTCAGATTTCTGATTCACTAGCTCTTCTCGCTTGTGTGTATGGATTATTGGCAGGCATTTACATTTGTTTATTTGGTAAGTGCATTTTTCTCTTTACCCAATTCATAGGTCCAATTAATTAAAGGTTTGTGTGTAATTCGTTTCAAAGGTTTCACCGCGATATCGCCGTGGGGTGTATGCCAACGCGGATGTTGTAGGCGTCGTTCTCGAGAGAGAATCTACCGAAAGTTTGCTCCGCACGGTCTACCCATCCTCTCTCAATCTCGCATTCGGCAACCAGTCATCCAGCGGTTAGAAGACTTGGATGAGTATATCAGAATGTTTTTGTTAAACGTGTCTGCTCTACAAGACACCAATTCGAAACCGAATGATGTTGAACATAATGATGACTTCAATGAAAAGCCGAAGAAAACTTCTCCGCCCTTGTCAGTGTTGAACCCGGCTCCATATGACAAGTCTAACAGGACTTCATCTTTCAATCCTAATAATTCTTCCGATCAAGAAATTTCGGCCCATAAAGAAGCTATTAATGTGCCGCCGTCAGGCAATTCAGCCGGCGAACAAAACCTATCACTCTCACCTTATGGTAAAACTTCATCTTTTGGTCCTGATAATCCGTTCGATCAAGAGATTTCACCTCATAAAGAGACTATCAATGTGCCACCATCGGGTAATCTGGCCGGCAATCAAAACCTATCATCTTCCCCTTCTGGTAAAGCTTTATCTTTCGGTCCTGATAGTTCTTTTGATCAAGAGATTTCGCCTCATAAAAAGACTATCAATGTACCACTATCGGATAATCTGGCCGGCAAACAAAACCTATCCTCCTCACCTTTTGGTAAAACTTTACCCCTCGGTCCTAATAGCTCGCTTGATCAAGAGATTTCACCTCATGAAGAGACTATTAATGTACCACCGTCGGGAGGTTCAACCGGCAAGAAAAACCTGTCCTCCTCGCCTTCTGGTAAAACTTTACCCCTCGGTCCTAATAATTCGTTTGATCAAGAGATTTTGCCACCGTCGGGCAATCTAGCCGGCAAGAAAAACCTGTCCTCTTCACCTTCTGGTAAAACTTTACCCATCGGTCCTAATAATTCGTTTGATCAAGAGATTTCGCCTCATAAAGAGACTATTAATGTATCACCGTCAGGCAATCCAGCTGGCAAGAAAAACCTGTCCTCTTCACCTTCTGGTAAAACTTTACCCATCGGTCCTAATAACTCGATTGATCAAGAGATTTCGCCTTATAAAGAGGCCAATGATGTACCACTTTCGGGCAATCCAGCCGGCAAGAAAAATATGTCCTCTTCGCCTTCTGGTAAAACCATACCCATCGGTCCTAATAACTCGATTGATCAAGAGATTTCGCCTAATAAGGAGACCAAGGACGTGCCACCGTCAGGCAATCTAGCCAGTAAACAAAACCTATCATCCTCGCCTTCTGATAAAACCGTACCCATCGATCCTAATAACTCGATTAATCAAGAGATTTCGCCTAATAAAGAGACCAAGGACGTGCCACCGTCAGGCAATCCAGCCAGTAAACAAAACCCATTATCCTCGCCTTCTGATAAAACTGTACCCATCGGTTCTAATAACTCATTTGATCAAGAGACTTCGCCTCACAAAGAGGCTATTAATATACCATCGTCGAGCAATCCATCTGATCCATCATCCTCGCCTTCTTACAAATCTTCTGGATCTTCACAAAAGAAAACCCCCGTAATCGCGGCCCCTACAGATTCAACAAAGGCCGGATTTCTCGATGTCAACCCCCACGCAGTAACTGCATCTTCTCAAAAGACTGGCATATCCCCTTCACCACAACCGCCAGTTTCGCCGGTCATTATTTTGACGGATGCCGATCGACCTGGATCGGAACAAGGTAACGACAGAAGGCGAAATCCAAATGTATCAAAACAAGGTCAAGTTGTCGAAGATTCTGATGCCATAAGTGTCAATTCATCTATACATACCATTATTTCATATGTTGACGAAAATGGGAATGAATTAGACCCCAATGAGGCTTCTAGTATTCACAGCAAGGTGAAATACGTGGACGAGGACGGTAATCCTGTAGATGTAAATACCATGGACCCTAGAAGATCGGAGGCTTCCAGTGTTCATAGCAAGGTGGAATACGTAGACGAGGACGGTAATCCTATAGATCTAAGCGCAATTGATCGTAGGGGATCTGAAGTTACCAGTATTCGCAGTAAAGTGCAATACGTGGACGATGATGGTAATCCTATAGATCTAAACACAGCTGGTCGCAGAAGATCAGAAGTTACTAGTATTCGCAGCAAAGTGCAATTCGTGGACGAGGATGGTAATCCCATAGATCCAAACACAACCGGTCGTAGAAGATCAGAAGTTACTAGCATTCGCAGCAAAGTGCAATTCGTGGACGAGGATGGTAATCCTATAGATCCAAACACAACTGGTCGTAGAAGATCAGAAGTTAGTAGCATTCACAGCAAGGTGCAATACGTGGACGAGAATGGTGATCCTATAGATATAAACACAATTGATCCTAGAAAATCAGAGATTTCTAGCGTTCACAGTAAGGTGGAGTACGTGGACGAGGATGGCAATCCTATGGATCTAAGCACACTCGATCCCAGGAGATCCAGGGTTATTAGTGTTCACAGCGAGGTGGAATACGTGGACGAGAATGGTAATCCTATAGATATAAGCACAATCGATCCCAGGAGGTCCAGGGTTGTCAGTGTTCACAGCAAGGTGGAATACATAGACGAGGATGGTAATCCTATAGATATAAGCACAATTGACCCTGAGATTTTGGAAGAAAACATTGACACGGATACTACAGTCGCCGGTCCATCCAATTCACGCCCAAACGAGTTTAGTGATAAAACTAAAAAGAGGATGGCCAAATTCAAAAGAATCTTTGGGTTTGGTAAAAAATGAATACCCATCTTATAGATTAATAGTAATAATGTACATTAGTAGGATTATAATATTTCATAATAAATGTAAATATGAATTTTTACATACAATAAAGTATAATCAAAAAATTTTTTTTTTTTTTTTTTTTTTTTTGAGTCATAGACCGCACGCATAAAATATATATTCTTGCATGTTTGAACTTGACACTTCCCATTTCTATCAATTAGTAGAGCATTATTTCATTGCAAAGAACAACGTTTGAAAAAAATTTTTATCAAAACTCGATTATTATCTCTTATAAAATGAACCCAATCAACCTTTTGTATTTTAAAGGATAGCATTATCAATTTACGATTCGAAAAATCTTAAAAAACTAGCTTGTATCAAAATAAATTTGAAACCATTTATTTAAAATAAATATTAATCAGCTATATAAATTTTATTTAAAAAAAAATATTTAAAATCGATATATTGGATTTTTAAAGTATAAATTTACTTATTTTAATTTTATTGTCTAAGCTATTGTAATATATTACAAAGAATTTCAATTTTACTAGTTTTATATTAAATATTTATAATATATATTTTCTTATAACTATAGATAGAAGATCTTAAATCTTAAAGCTTGACTATTACTAGATTATTTACTTTAAATTTTATGTTTTAAAATCTTTGAATAAAAAAATAAAGATAATAAAAAAAAACAATAACAATAATTTATTAATAGATCTATAGATCAATAATACAATATTAATGCTCCCAGGTTATCAAGTACAGTGTCACCTAAAGAAGCCTAAGTGATACAATAAGATCCTATCCATCTTGTAATGAGATTATTATCACCTTTGATCAAAATCCTATCTGATTATAAGAAATCCAAAAAATCATAAGATGCTTTAGTCAATTTTAGTAATAAAGTCATCTCATTATAAGACAGGTTCTATCAAGTTCCTATAAATAAATTGAAGATCTGCAAAGCAATAAATAAAGAGCTAGCAAAGCCTAGGTATATTAGTTAGAAGAGAGTTTCTATCAAAAATCAATATTCATTTAAAATATCATGTGATCACTTTATAGGTAGACTATAATAACTTATATAAAAAAGATCACTGGCAGAATAAGATAGTATTTAAGACTTCACATAAGTATTTTGCAAGTATATTATAAAAAAATATCTAGCAAAACAAGATATGAAAGTGATCCTATATTACAAATCCATATCTACAAAAATGAGAATTATAAAAGGATAATATAGACATAGATAATGAAGTAGTAAGGTTTTTTCTGGTAATAAGTCATATAGGGAATACCAGTAGTCATGTTGAGATTACTGGGTATCAAAATAAATTTCTTATAAGTTTTAGTTATGTTAAAAATATATAAACTGTATTAAAAGAACTTAGTATAGTGCTATGAAATTAAAATTCATATTATTATAATTAAATTATAATTAAATTGAGTTTTATTATTTCTTTAATAATAAAAAAAAAAGATCTGTGGGTCAATAGCATAGTGGTAATGCTCCCAAGTCATCAAGTACTGTTTTCGAGTTCAATACCATTGCGAGACAGTATCACCTAAAGCCTAGGTAGTATAAGAAGATCCCATCTGCTTTATAATGATAATTTAACCATTTCTGACCAAGACCCTGTCCGATCATGGGGTATCCAAAGATCACAAGATGCTTCAGTCGGTTTTAGACCTGAAGTCATCTCGTCATAAGATAAGTTCTTTCAAGCTTTTGCAGATAGGTTGAAGATCTGCATGCCGTAATTCGAGAAGGCTAGCGAAGCCTAGACACGTTAGTTAGAAGAGGGTCTCTATCAAATCGACATCCATCCAAGACTCCATGTGGTCACTCCATAGGCAGGCTGTAATAAGTCATGTAAAAAGAGTGCTCTGGTGGGACGAGATAATATCTAAGACTCCATATGGATATTCTATAGGTATACTGTAATAAGTATTATAAAAAGAATATTCAGCGGGATAAGATATGAAAGTGTCCTATATTATAGATCCCAGGATAAAGGAAGGTTAACACAGATATAAGTAGGGGGGTAGTAGGGCTTCTTCCGGCAACAAGCCATGATGGGGCTTAAGTAATCAATTAGGTTTTCATTGATATAAGGGTGTAGTACGTATGCTTACATGTAGTTAGCCGTAAATACTGATTATAGAATCGCTCTATATATTAGTAGCCACATATGTAAGGCCATTCTATCAACTTCAATAAAACTGGGCTTTGTTATCCTGTTCAAAAAAAAAAATAATAATAATAATAATAATAAAATTTTTTGTTAATGTTATTAATATTATTTTAGGTAAAATATTAAATAAGAAGTTATTTATATAAAAAGCAAGTAAAATTTAAAACTTTTTAAAAAATCTTAAAATAATATTAGTTTTAAGTTTATATTACTTATTTAAAAAAGTATAACTTTTTTAAAAAGAAATTAAGTTTTTAAAAAATTTTTTATTTTAATAATAATTACTAATTAAGTATTTTTATTATAAATAAAAATAATAAATTTTTTAATTAAAAAATTCTTTCCGCTAATCTTCTGACCATACACAAAAAAGATGTTTACAAGAAGTTTTTATACTTCTTTGCTAATAAATTCTTAATACTTTCCTTAAACAACTTTAAATATGACTTCAAAAGTCACTTTTACCCTTTCTTTTTTATTTATAAACCTTTTCACTTAAAAACTTGATTCCTAGTAACCAAGAAAAGTCTAGTAACACTTTTGATATCAATAGTAAGAAAGTTTTTAAAGGAAGAAGAACTGACTATAAAATATTTGAAGACTTATCTGACATTTGAAACGAGGAAGATTTATAGAGATTTTTTGTAATAAAAAGATTTATTTTCTTTCTTTTTGACTGTCTAGATCCTTTTAGAACTTTCATTTTCCTGGTTTTTTAGGGAATTTTGCTAATCTCAGTTTGATCCTGAATTTTGGATAACACAAATTTTTACCAAAGGTAATTGGTTGACATGAAATATATTAATTTTTGAAATGTAAACAAGCTTTTATTGGTCATATTCATGTGTTTTAATGATATCATTGATGATTGAAAAGAAGGTTTTGAAAATATTTGCCTTCAAAAGTCCAAGTCCCTTAATGAAAACTATCATAATATCAAAAAATCAAGTAATAAGTAATATGTATTACAAATTTCTATATCTTACTTAAGTTCCTCAAGTAGTGACAAAACTTTAATGAAAAAAAGCCAAAGTTTAAATGCTTTTCTTGAGATATCCCAATCTAATGCTTACTTAAATAAAAGACCAGTTGGATTGACTCATCCACTACCATAGATAGTAAAAAAGAATTTTTTTTTTGAAATTCAAGTGAAGCAAAAAACTATTCTAATTAGGTAGATCCCCTTTGAGAAGAGATTGTTTTTATTTTTGGATTTTTTGATAAGCCTTGAATTGTCCCCTTTCTTTAATTATTTTTCTCTTTCCTCTTTTTAACTTAACAATTTATTGGTTTTTAAGCAATCAATAGTAACAAACTATTGGCAATGATCTTGGCAAATAGAGGTTATTATCAATATATTAGGGAAATATAATATAGTTCTCAAAATCTGACTTAGAGTACTTATATATAAAAATGAGTTAGTTACTTTGTGAAAGTCTGTAAATTATTATAGATTTATTTTAATTTTTTAATAAAGACAAGTTATTATAGCATAATTGCAAATTAATAAAAAAAAACAATAAATTTTTTAGTATAATATAAAATAATAAAAAAAACTCTTTTCCCTTATTCTTTAATCATATATAAAAAAGATATTTGCAAGAAGTTTTTTCATTTCTTTACTAATAAAGTCTTAATACTTTCATTAAAACAACTGGAATTTTGACTTCAAGAATCATTTTTACTCTTTTTTTTTTGTTTACAAATCTCTTTACTCAAAAACTTGACTTCTGATAATCAAATAATATCTCTGATATCAACTGTAAAAAAGTTTTCAAAGAAAGAAGAACTAACTGTGAAGTACTTAAAGTTCTTTTTAATCTTTGAAATAAAAGATTATAGAGATTTTATTGTAGTAAAAAAGTGTATTTTTTTTATTTCTAACTGTTTAGCCCCTCTTAGAGCTTTTACTTTCATAGTTTTCTGATAAATTTTACCTATCTCAGTTTGATTCTAAATTTTAGATAACACAAATTCTCATCAAAGTAATTGGCTAATACAAAATATATTAGTTTTAAAAATACAAATAAGTTTCCATTGGTTATACTCACATATTTTGATGATATTATTAATAATTGAAAAGAATGTTTTGGAAATATTCACCTTTCAGAAACTCAAGTACCTTAAGGAAAATATTCATAATATCAAAAGATTAGGAAATAAGTAATATAAATTATAAATTTCTGCCTCTTCTTTAAGCTTCTTAAATAGTAACAAAACTTTAATAAACAAAAGCTAAGATCTAAATACTTTTCTTAAAATATTCAAATCTAATACTCACTTAAATAAAGAACCAATTGAATTGACTTGTTCAATAACATAAATAATGACAAAGAAGATTTCTTTCAAGACTTAAGCAAGAAGATTATTTCAATTAGACAAATCTTTTTTGAGAAGAGGGTTGCTTTCTTTTTGAACTTTTTTGATAGAACCTTAAATTATTTCTCTTACTCAATTTCTTTTTTTCTTTCCTTTTAATTTAGCAATTTATAGTTTATAAACAATCTATAGTGACAAACTGTTGATGATGAACTTAATAGATAAAAGTTATTTACTAATATTCTAGGAGAGTAAAATATTGTTCTCTAGACTTAACTTAGAGTACTTCAATATGAGTTAGTTATTATATGAAAAATCTGTAATATTGTAGATAATTATATAACTTCTCAATAAATATTAAGCTATTGTAATCAAATTTATATTTGACTGATGTATTCAAATAGAATTGCTTTTAAAAAAACAATTTCTAAAGAAAGAATTCTAGAAGTAATTTATAGTAATAAAGAAATATTCAAAAATAGATTCACTAAAAAT